TGAGGCTGGCTTGAACTCATGATCCTTGTACTTCAGCCTCCCAAGTCACTGGTATTACAGGCATGTTCCACTGTACCCAGCTAATACTTTACATTCTTAATAACTCTTATTCTCTTTATTTTGTAATAGTTTTCATTCTAGTGAGAAGTGAGGTGGTAGTGTGCTATTATTTTTATTTTTATTTTCCTATTGGAATTTATTTAAACATAATCCATTAATCAGAAAATGTATATTATCCAAACTCTTTACTAACACTTTCATAAATATAAAAAAATACATTCCTCAAGGTACAGAATTCCTTTTATCACAGAAATAAACATAATTACTTGATTTTTAATGCTGTCTATATATAATTACAAATTATGATGGAGTTGAAAAGTACCAACTTACCATGAGGTGAGGTCCATTCCTAAGTATGGACATTTCTAGATCCTAGAATGGCACTAGTTATGTATATTGAGATCCAGATGTCAAAATTATAAAAAAATATTGAATGTCTCTAGCAAATAGAGAAATGCAAATTGAAACTGAACTGAGATTCCATCTCACTCCAGTCAGAATGGCAATTATCAAAAATTCAAGAAACAGTAAATGTTGGTGAGGATGTTGGGGAAAGGTACACTCAAAATTTCTGATGGGTTTGCAACTCAGTACAACCATTGAGGAAAGCAGTATGGAGATTCCTCAGAAAACTTGTAGTAGAACCACAATTTGACCCAGCTATTCCATTCCTTGGTTATACTCAAAAGATTGAAAAGAGCACACTACAGAGACATAGCCACATCAATGTATATAGCAGTTTAATGCACAGTATCTACACTATAGAACCAGTCTGGGTGCCTTCAACAGATAAATGGATAAAGACAATGTGGTACATACACACAATGAAATATTACTAAGCCATAAAGAGGAAGAAAATTATGACATTTGCTGGTAAATAGATAAAACAGGAGACTATTATGCTATGTAAAATAAGTCAACCCCAAAAAACAAAGGCTGAATGTTCTCTCTGATATGTGCATGCTAACTCATAAATTATATAATAAGGGGATGGGTATAGGGAAGAATAGAAGTACTTTGGATTAGTCAATGGTAATGAATGGAAGGAAGAGGGAAAGGGAATAGGAAACATAGTGGAATGAATCAGACATTATATTTCTATTTACATATATGAATACATTACCAATGTAACTATACATTGTATATAACATATAAAATGAGATGTTATACTCTATGTATGTAAAATATGTCAAAATACATTCTAATTTCATCTATAATAAACAAGAACAAATAAAAATAAAAGAAATGAAAACATTTTTAGAAAATTCAGAATATAATTTACTTCCTCAGATGGAACCATGAGACCTTTGTAAAATACACTGAATCATATTGAACAAATATGAACAAAGATTCATGCCCAGCCCACATGCATCCTTGCCAATGCCTAGGAGAAATTCATTTTCATAAAAAAAACATTCATAAGTCCTGCAATCTGAGTTCTCTCAGGGTCTTCAGTCCTATGGAGTTCCATGCAGCCAGTGGTGACTAAAGTGCTATATGGTTGTGACTGAATCTAGTCATAACCCTCAGTCTCACTTGCTGAAAATAAAGGTTACAAAAATCTGTGAACTGAAAAAGCTTGAAAACATGCACACGTGTATCATCTGAATGGCAACATGTAAGATTTTGCAACTGAGTTCCTTGACAAGTCCTATGTGAAAGGACCTCTGAAACAAATTTTTTCTGTTGTGGACAAACTAGATAGTATCCTGCAAGCTAATAAAACCAGAAACTTTATGTTCACCTGCTTAATCCTGACCTGAGAAGAACTGATATCAAAAAAAAACTATTTTAGTCCTGAAAACAGGGGGGTGTCAAGTGAACTATGCATGAATTCACCACAAGGGGTCTGAGGAAAGTAAGAAGGCCATTCTGAGGTAATGGAGAAACCACAGAAGAGGTTCCCTGGACTGGCCCATAGACAGAATGAGAGGGGATGAGGTGAGGATGTAGGACTGTCTTGGGAGGTCTGATCACAATGTCACATAATGATGTGTATGAGCTTGGACAACAGGGGGCACTGCAGACCAATTAATAGAGGTAAGGAAGTAACCAAAATTGTAATAAGTTACTTGGCCCTGCCTGACATTCTGTCGTTGGGGGTTACAGCTGTGACTTTCCACACATCTGAGCCAACCCAACTCAACCCTGCACAAGAAATTGGCATCTTTATGTACAGGAGTCTGAAATACGGCCCAGGGTGCAATCAGAAATCGTGGAGGAACCTAATTTGCATAGATAGACCCTCCCCTTCTCAGACTATGAATAAGGTAAGAGAGAGACTTGGGGGAAACTCTGCTCAGCATCAGAAACAGAAGGCACAACTCAGGATGACTTTCATCATGGCTTGGTCCTGTCTGCTCTTCACATTCCTCATTCAGTGCACAGGTGACATGATATGAAGGAGGGATAGGGTGTGTGAGTACACTGATATGGGCCCTGATTCTACTCTTGTTAAACCTAGACAAAAATCACCCTCTCTGTGTCTCTCTCACTTCCAGGGTCCTGGGCCCAGTCTGTGCTGACTCAGCCGCCCTCAGTATCTGGGACTCCAGGAGCGACAGTCACCATCTCCTGCAAAGGAAGCAGCAACAATATTGGCAGTAATTATGTGCACTGGTACCAACAGCTCCAAGAAAAGGCTCCCCAACTCCTCATCTATGATAATAGTGATCGACCCTCTGGGGTCCCAGATCGCTTCTCTGGCTCCAAGTCTGGTAATTCTGCTTCACTGACCATCACTGGGCTTCAGCCAGATGATGAGGCTATCTATCACTGTCAGTCTTATGATGACAGCCTCAGTGCTCGCACAGTGCTCCAGGCTTATGGGGAAGTAAGACAAGAACCCCATTACCATATGTCATGAGGGAAAACACCTGGCAGCTTTGCTCAGGTCTACTCTCTGGCAGCTTCTGCTACCACTACTATAGGCCCAGCTGAACCTACTGGCACTTCTTTGAGTGAGAAGCCTCTTGTCCTCTGCCCTCAGAGTCATTCACAGCAGCATATTCCTAGGAAATGTCTTCATATAAAAAGAAATTCCTAATTCTTGTTAGCTTGAGAAGCTAAATTTTCAGGATACTTTTGTCTCTTTACCCCGAAGTTCAAGTGTTGAGGCAGCCAGTGCAACCCTGGTCATCCCAGAGTTGACATCTGATGGGGAATCCTGTGGTTTCATCCTCCATTCTTCCCTATTTTCAGAAATTCTAGAAATATGTTATTTGTGTCTGTGATTCATGTCATAGTCTAATTTTTATATAAGTTTTCTAACATGAAATATTTGGAAAACAATAAAACACACATAAGTGAAAACTTTGACAGATTTTGTGATATTTTCACACCTTTAGGAACATCATCACTTCAGGCAAAAGAATTCATGCCCCTCCCCACAAACATCCTTTGCCCTTTGGATATCCTACCTCCATTGCTGCTCAAAGAACCTCCCAGGCAACCACTGACTTTCTCTCAGTGAATATTGATCATGTTTCTTTTTATATTCCAAAACACACAGCAGATGTTTCTTCTTGTATGACTTCTTCCACTTTATAAATTCTTTTTTTATTCGTTGTTCAAAACATTACAAAGCTCTTGACATATTATATTTCATACATTAGATTCAAGTGGGTTATGAACTCCCATTTTTACCCCAAATACATATTGCAGAATCACATTGGTTACACATCCACATTTTTACATAATGCCATATGTAACAGTTGTATTCTGCTACCTCCCCTATCCTCTACTATCCCCCCTCCCCTCCCCTTCCATCTTCTCTCTCTACCCCATCTACTGTAATTCATTTCTCTCCTTGTTTATTTTCCCATTCCCCTCACAACCTCTTATATGTAATTTTGTATAACAATGAGGGTCTCCTTCCATTTCCATGCAATTTCCCTTTTCTCTCCCTTTCCCTCCCACCTCATGTCTCTTTGTAATGTTAAACTTTTCCTCCTGCTCTTCCTCCCTGCTCTGTTCTTAGTTGCTCTCATTATATCAAAGAAGACATTTGGCATTTGTTTTTTTAGGGATTGGCTAGCTTCACTTGGCATAATCTGCTCTGGTGCCACCCATTTCCCTGCACATGCCATGATTTTGTCAATTTTTAGTGCTGCATGTGTAATACTCCACGGTGTATAAATGCCAAATTTTTTTATCCATTCACCTAATTGAAGGGCATCTGGGTTGGTTCCACAGTCTAGCTATTGTGAATTGTGCTGCTATGAACATCCATGTGGCAGTATCCCTGTAGTACGCTCTTTTAATGTCTTTAGGGAATAGTCTGAGAAGGGAAATAGATGTGTCAAATGGTGGTTCCATTCCCAGCTTTCCCAGAAATCTCCATACTGCTTTCCAAATTGGCTGCACCAATTTGCAGTCCCACCAGCAATGTACAAGAGTACCCTTTTCCCCACATCCTCGCCAGCACTTGTTGTTGTTTGACTTCAGAATGGCTGCCAATAAATTCCTTTTAAGACACTTTCACATTATGTTTCATTTCCCTTGATTCAACTGAGGACAAATCATGACCTTTGTGAACTGTGTTTATTTGTGTGTTGATGGATATTTTTCTCTGATCACGTGTGTATTTACATTTTTTATAACTTTATCACTATGAATGGCAATATAATACAGCCTTTGTTGTGTTCATTGTATTATTAGAATTCTAAGATATTTTCTTTAAAAATGGATGGAAAACTTTAAGAAATACTAGTCATTTATTTTTCATTCACTGTTCAATGCACTTAACATCTCCTTATGGGGGCTTTGGGCATAATTAGCCAGGCCCTTCTCCTCCTCACTTTGGAGAACAACTCTCCTAATTCAGGGCTTGTGTTGGGACTGAGATAAAAGTCAAGAGAATTGATATGCATGACTCCTAGAGAATTACTTGGAAGCAGAAGACCATTGGGGGGGGCAGGGCTCCTACCCTGTGTGCTCAGGTCAGAGTTTTGGGGATGATGATTCTTACATTGTCATGACGTCTGCAAGGGCCTTTGGAACTGCATCACATTTCCTGGAGCTTATGTGATGACAAGAATAATCCTAAGAAAATTGTGATATCTCCATGTGATGATTACAACAGTTGACACAACAGAGAGGCTCAGGACAGGGACAGGTGATAAAAGTATGCATTTTTAGCTGTGTCTAGGACTGTGGCACATCCATGAGGAAAAATGGTAAAAGTCTTGTAGGTAAGAATTTTGCCTGTGGAGCCTCCAAATAATGTTTCTGAATTCCAGTGAATTAAATAAGAAATGAGTAACTTTCATGTTTCCCTCTTAATCTCATGTCAGCTGAGATTCCCAGTGGTATAGCCAATGTCTGGCAGACACCTCAGCCTCCAAGTAGATGTGCTAAAACATCTAAAGTGAATGGCAAAGATGGCAAGCTCTGGATCTGAGATAATTTTGCTTAGATCCATTTAGGGAAACAAATGGATTTGGGTTGTTGCAGCTAAGAGACAAAAAGTTTTAAAAATCCAGGTGGTCTGAGTGCCACCAGGTTTTCTCTGTGGTTGTGCCTTCTCTCACCTTAAATCCACTGAAAGGAACTCAAGGGACATACTTGGGAGCACAGATTGTCCCTTGCACATCCATGGCAAAATCGTCAGATGTTTGAACAATCCAAAAAAGAAAAGGGCTGTCACCATGAGGTAGCCAGATGGGGAGTGGAACTGGCTGCATTTAGGGCTTGCTTTGTATAAGAAACAGCTCAGGAAAAGGTCAAGTGAATGTTTTCCCCCTATGGACATAAGGTAAATTTGGGGGAAGACAGATAGCCAGGAAAAGCTTGACTACTGCTCATGAGAACCAGAGGAGGTACCTTAGGAGAATGCAACAGTAGGTCTATTTATTTTATTATTATTTTTATTTTTTTGTAGTTGTAGATGGACAGAATGCCTTTATTTTATTTATTTTTATGTGGTGATGAGGATCTAGTCCATTACTCACACAGACTAGGCAAATACTCTGCCACTGAGCTATATCCCCAGCCCCAGCCTCAGTAGGTCTATTTGTATGAATACATGGAAAGCTGCTCTGGGTGATCTACTGGTTAGGATTCAGTTCTCTCACTATCATGGCCCAAGTTTGATTTCTGTTCAGGGAAGACTTTCTTTTGCCCACTGGGGTGGTGTATACCCCTAATCCCAGATATTCAGGAGGGTGAGACAGTAGGATAACAATTTGGAGATAAGCTTCAACAACTGAGGGACAACCTATCTAAAAATTAATCAGCAAAAATACCACAAAGAAGTCATTCATCCTAATACTCAACTTGGGACATTGAATGTGTTTCTGATCTTCAATGGTTATGAACATTGCTTTGGTGAGCAACTTAAAAAGTGTCCTGGAATTGGGGGGACATAAAACTCTGCATCAGATATGTGTCATGGTTTCCAAATTTTCTTCTCACGAAGACATAATTCTCTGTCTCCTTGAAAGATGCCAGGGCTTAGGGTCTACTTCTTCCAATAAAGTAGAATCAGAGCTACTGCCCTTCTTCTCCCTTGCATGTTTTCTTTTGCATGCTGACAAGAATTATCCCGTCGAATGATACTGTATTGAGTTACTAACAGAATGCAAATGAACACATAGTGAATAACCATTCATCACATGCAGTACAAAAGATGTGTGAACAATAATTTTTCCATATTATTTCACATCATAGAGTTGCAATTTTGTTCATCCAGAATGACTATCTGGTCTAATAACAAAGTAAAATTGTTAATTCTACACATCTCAATGCTAATTGAGAATGTGTCTTCAGTGGTTGTCTGATTCAGTATAAAACTCCACTTGCTCCACAGCAGGTAGATCAGCAAGAGTGATTTTAGGAGAGGCAGATGCAAGCAAACAACTGGAAAACTGCTCACCCTGATCATCAGTGTGGGAAACAGTATTCTAACTTATATGAAGCTCTTCTCAGAATGTCACTCACATTAACCACTGGAGCTTAGGAACATTCTTCTCAATTAAACATAGATTTATTGGCAGGGTCGATTACATGTTAAGACACAAAACAAGTCCTAAAAAATTGAAGAGGAGAGAGTTATTCTAATCTTATTCTAAGAAGCCAGTTGTTCTCTCCTGTAGATTCACTGACATTGATAACTCTCCTGTAAACACTGTGTGCTGTTATGCACACAGCATTATCAATCAGGAAGACCCTATAAGCTGGGAGTGGTGGTGTACACCTGTAATTCCAGCAGCTTGGGATGCTGAAGCCGGTTGATCACAAGTTTAAAACCAGCCTCAGAAACTCAGCAAAATCCTAAGAAACTTAGCAAGATAATCTCTCTAAAACAAAGATAGGGGCTGGATATGTGGCTCAGTGATTAAGACACTCTGTGTTCAATCCCTGATAATAATAATAATAATAATAATAATAAGAAGAAGAAGAAGAAGAAGAAGAAGAAGATGATGAAGAAAAATATAATTCCTCCAAAGTTTGCTGTATTTTTAATAATGTGGTCATGTAGATATGCTTGACCATCTACATTGCTGACTTTATCTCCACTGAAGTAGTTTAAAAAAAAAAGAAAATGGAAAGAAAAGGAAATTAACCCTCTAACATGGAAAATGTTCTTTCTTCTTTGTTTTTCATGCTCTAGAACAAATTACTAAAATAATTTTCAACTTAAGCCTTCTCTTTATTCAATGAGAAGCTCATAATCAATAACCTTATCAGCAAGTTGGTCATGAAAACAATTGCTTTACTCATTCAAAATACTGATGAGTGAGGAACCTTCTTTATTATTTTTTCTCTTGATAGCTTCCATTTATGAAGTAAAATACTGAATCCTTGAAGAGAGAAATGTTGAATATATCCAGGAAAGGGAGGACACAGGGGATGGGCAGGTACTGT